CCGAGTACAGATCTTGTGCCACCAGGTTGTTCGGAGTACTCGGTACATCACCGAGTACCGTAGCACCAGAGGCACGCGATAACGCGCCGCCGCCATCACAAAACGTTTTGCCCTTGTCCAATTTCCGTATCTTGGATTTCTTTCGTCATAACAACAGATCCTAATCCGTCATCGATGCCTATACCATCCATCGTAAACAAGAACATTTGGCCAACGTGGTCCTCACGGAGTAGCAGTTGCCTTTGCGTATGCCATGCACACGACAAGAAGAGTCCTCCCAATTGCATTTATGTACACATGCCTCCCAGGACGCACATCATGGACGTGTCTTCACAATGCAAGCCCAGTGCCGTCACCAGTCCACCTATACAAGGCAAGCACCTCGCGTCTCCAATGTTGCTGCTCAGCCAAATCTTCAGGAATGCGCCCTCGCACTTGTTGAAGGGCTGATCGCATCACCTTCCGAAAGTTGCGCTGTTCTCGGTGTCAGTTGTCTGTCATGTCTTTTCAAGCTCGATTCACTTACCTGATACTGGGTATCCAACGTGGCCACACACGCCTCGTGCGCTCGAACAATCGTCTCGCACGCCTTGACCACGTCGGGACTTACGTCGCCTTGTAATTTGTCGGCGAACAACAATAGCAAGAAACTGCCTTGGAGAAGGTACACGCCGAAAAAGAAGGGCATAAAGCTCAAGTCGGGATCGTCTTCGATGATTTCGGCCACTGCCTCCGCGGCACTCACCGCGTGTCCCGTGGCGGTCACAAATGATTGGGAAGAGATCCAGAGGTCATTGTCGTCGAGCAACGCAATCGGATCCCACTTGCCAGTCAACAGGATATGCAGCACGTGCATGATATGCGTCCCATATGCTACCACTGTTTTGGTCTGCAGGGCCAGTTCTGAAGCACTGTGAGAGTCATTCGTTCCGGCTGACACCACTGATGGGGTGACCACATCGTTATGGCTCGTATCTTGAAAATGTCCGCCAGATGCCTCGAAATCCTTCAGACTCTGTCCATACGTCTCTAATTGTTGAGTGATCTCGTCTGTATGATCGTCCCAGTTTTTAGCCTTGTTGGCTCTAGGTCCGAACCGCGGTCGGTTGCGGGCGTGATTGAGATCCAATATCTCTCCGAGAATCACCATCAGAGGTAGGAAATAGCCGAACACGCTGTGCGACGTGCATTCGATATTCAGCCCTTTTCTCCGATGCGCTGGATCCGAAGCCTTGTCAAACCGCCCTGCCTGGAAAGCATCGTCATCCAATGGTTGCAGCAGGCTCTCACATTCCTTGTTCAAGAAAAACATGGGTCGGTTGTAACACAACGCTAGATGCCGGTCCTGCATATACAAGAGCCACCACGTCCGTCGTCGTTCTTCTCGTTCTTCTTCCGACACATAGCCGATGGAATTGCGCCGTGTATCATCCACAGAGGTCTTTCGGTTCTCCCCTGAGTGGCCTTCCGTGTGATTGCTTGCAGGGTTATTCTCTTCGCCATCCTGGTCCGGCGGATTAGGGGGAAGCTCGCGACCTAGTCGAATTTCTCGAGCGAGTGACCAGGCCGCATTCCACCAACGAAGACTCGCTGCTTTGCGTTCGCTTGCTGAGACCACCGTAGCCAGGTGGATGTAGGTCGCCAGATTGTCAATCTGCGCCCGGTCGACACCGTGACCTCCCGAATGTGTTGGCACAACAAGCGCGCCTAGCCCACCGTCGTTAGCCCCCATCTGCGGATAGTTGGGGTTCGGCGTCGGGACTGAAGTATTTGGATGACTGTGAATTAAAGGTTTGAGCATGTTGATGGTGAGTTCCAACAATCGTTGACAGATCCGAGCTCTGGCATCCAGCTGACTTGTTAAGAAAGCAGCATCACTTGTTTGCGCGGCGATCCACAACATGCTTGCCAGCAGTGCAGGAGTACAAGGGCGAGGGTCGGTAGGGTGTAAGAAAGACTTCTTTCGGAATATGTAGCCCAGTATATATGGGTTGGCAGGCCTCAGATAAGCTGAAGTTGAACTTGTGAAGTACTGCTCCAAAAGATCGCATGCCAAAGCCTGGGGAATAATCGATTCAATGTGAGGCAGTAAAGGGCGAAGCACGGGATATCTCAGTGTATCTGTAATGCGAGGCTGCGCCGGCAAGGGGTCGTTGATGAACATCGGGGACGTGAGGGCGAGCCAATCTGGCGACTCGACCATGGGTGCTTTCCCCATGAAGGCGACTGAATAGTCGTCTCCGAGCGGAAATCCAAAGCCTTGTACTGCCCCTTGTACATGTATCGAGTCGAGGGTGGACGGCGCATACGCCTGGCTGGGAACAGCAAAGTCAATGGCCTGACTTTGAGTGATTTGCGGAACCATGGACTGATCAATTTCGTGAAGTTGACGGGCGGCGGACATGCTCACTCCCGCAGAGGGATCAAAATTGGTGAAGAAAGTGGCCTGGTGATGGCTGGCGTCGAACCCAGCACTCGGGGGAGTATTGTTGGTAGGTAAGGAATTCCCATCCAGCATGCCATCGCGACCAGTGTAGGAAGTCGTGGAATACGTCCTGGGCCTGGCGGATTGACGCACTGCGGACGCATTGTTGGAGATTGGTTGAGCAGTATTGGCAAAGTTGGGTTCATCTGTGGTATCCGTCTCTTTCTTAGGCGCCCGGCCTCTTTTCTTGTGAGCGCGGGCATATTCGCAGACGAGAGCATTGTCGGTACAGTGAGCACACGGCTGTTTGCCATCGCATTTGGTACGGAGCTGGTTGCATTGATCGCAGGCTCGACTTATTCTGCGCCGAACTGCGGCGGTTTCACTCGATTCATGAGGATCGAGCTCCGACTCCCTCCTCTTGCGACCAGCCTGCAGATTGTCATTGTCGTAAGGTTTTGGTTGGGTTTGCAGCATGGAGGGGAGCTGCTGAGGTTGGGGGTTGATCAAGTCGGGCCGCTGAGCATAATCGTGGAATTCCGAGTATGAGTTGTGGGTTTGTGGGGGAATGCGGGAGAGCATGTCTGCAGGATTCGTCGGCGACAGAAGCACACAGCCACTGTCATAGTTCAAAAATTTGGAAGTACTGTTGTTGTCGGGTGGACGATGACGCTCAGAAGAAGATCGTGACTGTTGAGGTAGTTGTCGACGGCAGGCGATCGGAGACAGCACCCGTATCCTCGGGCGTGAGCGGTGGGTGGCAGCAATGGTAGAGAGGACAGCGTGCGTGTGGAGAATAATTTTTCGCTCACATGAGATGATTGAAGGATCAGAAGAGGAGGCGGCACATGGGCGAGTCAAGCCTCGACCATGACCATAAGACCGCGGGGGATTAGCAAAAGTCGAGGCTTGTAGGCGAGGAGTCGAAGCAAGGGCCTGGCATGCCCAGGCAATGGTTTTCTGGGTGGTTTCGGTGCTGGGAGCTGGGAGAAGACCGTGGGCTAATGGCATTTGAAAGATGGGGGCCCGCCCCGTTGAGTCTATCAAGTCTATTAGGCAAGCTGGGGTAGGTGAGGGCCCAAGCATGGGCATCTCATTGGCAGGATTCATCCTCCCCTGGAGGCTGGTGACCAGTTCTGCCAGTACAGGGATGATCGCAATAAGAGGGTGGGGCTGACCATCAGCAACGTTCTGCCGTTGGCAAGCACGGCTACAGCGACTTGCTGTGTGTAATTCAGGACCCAAGCCCACTATCCCTCTACACCAGAATGATATGAGGACGCCTCCTCGACTTGAGCAGAGGATATTCTTACTGGGAAGTGGATGAGACAGACAAAGATCCCAGTACCTGTGAGAGGATGCGTGCTCCAGCTGCTGTGTTGACTTGTTCGCAGCTTCCTCGTGGGGGATAGGTCGCTGCGATGCGGGGCACCCCCATCCCAGGCAGGTTCGGGCAGCGGTAAAGCACAAGTACCCTCCGTACAAACATCCCTACCACATTCACCACGCCTTACCTAGACCTACACTACCTTGAGCGTACAAATAAGGGAACCCCAGAGAGGTTTCGACCTGGTTAGTAGCCATCACTAACCCAGCCGCTCCAACCGCCACCCACCGCCACTGCATCCACCGCATCATCATTTCTCTTCCTTCTGTCCAACCACATTCGCCTCTGACCATGTAACATTCTCGTGATCTCAATACTACACAAGATTTCTTGACTTCAGCCCTTTTCAGCTGCCACGAAGTGCCGACCTCTCGGACTTTGTGCGATCGACTTCTCTTCCCTTGGAACAGGATTCTTTGCCACTGCCGCCCGATCAGCAACATTGTGTGAAGGTTGGCGGCGAGTCATTCGCGAGTGATCTACGTCTATACGGGATTGATGGTCTTATCCAAGCGCGATCATGTCCTGCCTTTATTCAAAATCAAAAACAATGAGCTTCTTGACAAACCTTCGTTCTTCTCCAGGTTTTGCAACTGACGTCGATTACTGCTTCTCTACCTCGTACAGGTCGGTGTGCCAACGACTGCTGTGGTGTTGGTCGCTTGCGACTTGTCGAATGGATGCTCTTCCTTGCAAGCTTACCGAGTATGGAGGTCATCGACAGGTGGAGCCTGACTCTCTCCCATGCCAAAAAGTATTGATATTGAGTAACCCGCACTTTCACGAACAGCGCCATACTAATCTTCTGCAGGATCACTCCCAACCCTGCCCTCCGCAATGCCCGCATGCGCGATCGGCCGCCGTTGTCCAAGTCCCCCCCCCCTTCCAGCTTTTCTTTTTCGGTCGCAAACACTGTCCCTTTCTCCTCGCACCTCACATCTGCGCTGTCTTTAGTGTACTTTTGCCGTGCCAGCTCACATTTACTGGTAGCGCCAAAACCTGCCGTTGATGAATCAGCACGAGGTATGTACCTAGGTACCGTACCACCGTAGTCGAGTGTCCTCGAGAGTAGGGCATCAGATTTCCGATTGGGCGCAGTGGATGAGTCGAGGGAGGAAGAGCGGTGGCCAGATGCCTGCCCCGGTGGTGGATCAACAATCCATCTGCCACAGTCATAGCAACTGCTCTTCACTGAGCAGCGTGCTCGCTCAAAATCTTGTTCAGACCTTCTCGCTGGACACATTCGTCAAAGTGGAAACTATGCGCCAGTTCGTCCAACTCTTTGAAATCCATCCCCGCGAACTGTTTGGCAAACTCGTCCGAGAATTGAGCACTCAACCAGGTCTGAATGACGGCGCGCATGACGTGCCTCTCCGTCTGCCACGGACCTGGATAGGCGTCCTTCGCCGTCGGACAGATCTTGTCAATCCACTCCACAAGGGGATCCAAAGCTGCTTCCGCCTCGGGCGAGTGATGGACCCCCCATGCATCCAACCTATATCTCTTTTTCTTGTCCAGGAAGGGCTGTATGGTACGGTTCCATTTTGAGTCCCGGTTCGTGTGGACCATGCCTTGAACGCCAATGTCCTTGTATAGCCAGATGCTCCAACTGATCTTATACTTGTCGTAGACCTTTAGCTGTTGGCCAAGCATATTGTACCGATCCTGATTGATTCCTTCTGCGTCTTTGTCTTCGGCCGGGTCAGCGTATACAGGGCCGAACTCCCCATTCCAGATAGGACATTTGTGTTCCAGCATGAACTCGGCTTTCCGGAGGAACTGTCTCTCGAGCTTGCCCTTCTGGTCTTCGGTGCCCTTGTAGCGCTCGCCAGTAGGGAAGCCCATCATCTGTTGTCTCTATTAGTACGCGGCGCAAGGCTCCTCAGTTTTGCTAGAAGACGTTACCGAATAGTCATGTAAAGCGTATACACAATTCGGCAAGACCTCTTTGAAGCCCTTCCACTCCATGGAAAAGGTGTTGCCGTCCAACCACAAGATGTGGTGACTGTCGACGGCGCGGATGGCCGCTTCGATGCGCGCGTAGAATGCCGGGAGGCGGACGTGTTCGGGGTCGCAGGGCTCGTTGAGCGGATTGTACCCGGCCACCCAGGTGTTGTCCCTGTACCGCTTCGCAATCTCCTGCCACAGCCAAACCGTCCGGTCCTGGTGGTCCTTGTACTCCCAGAAGGCGGCGTAGTTGGTCGGGTTGTCCGAGTGCCAGTCCGGGTTCTGGCCGCCGGGCGCGGTGTGCATGTCGAGGATCGTGTAGATCTGGTGTTTTGCACACTGTCATAGATGAAGTGTGATAAACAATGATCTTAGCCCGGCGACACTCTTCTTTTTCTTCTCGAAACAGCCCGTAAAAACTGAAAAAATTGATCTATAGAACCCCCCAACGCCGCGTAGACTCAAGACTTGACTCACCAGATCAATCACCCTGTCGAGATGCTTGAACCCCGACTCCTTCAGCACCCGCGGATTCATGTCGTCCTCGAGATGTCGGTAGTTGAACGGTAGCCGGAGACAGTTCAGATTGAGGCTGGCGAAGAAGCGCGCGTCGGCCTCGGTGAAGTGGTATTCCAGCCACTTGTCGAAGAAGAAGTCGGCCTTTTCTCTCCCAAGGACTTTTGTCATCGAGGCGCGGTGCTGGGACTCGTGGCCCGGGTATCCGGTGATGAAGTTCTCCATGCTGCGTCAGGCGCGAGCCCATTGAGCGTTGTTAGCTCTTAAGTGACTCCTTTGTTCACTTTCCCTTGCGGTGGAGTTCCTTTCGTGGTGGGTAGGTAGGGAGGTAGGTAGGTAGGTAGGCACAAGGAAGAGGGAAGGGGGGATATGATGTGGTGTAGAGCTTCTTGACATACTTCATCCATCCTCCGATCGCTGTCCCTCGAAGAACCACTTGCTGTCCATTGCCGTCGACCACCCTATCACCCTCGACCCTCAGGTATCCCGACGCCATATTTGTACCTCGTACCTCGTGGAAAAGAGAGGTATGTGGGTGGGTAGATACGAACTTTGACTCTTACTCTTGCTCTGAGAGAGGATCCCTGCCTGAACTCACCTTGTTCACTACCTTCCGGGTAATATAAGAGAGGGAGAAAGAGAGGGAAAGGAGGGGCAAGAGACAGTGGAGGGGGGCATGATGTGTTAATGTGTTTCCGGTAATATGCAATATGCAATATGAAATATGCTCGCTCGACAGACTCACCCCAATTACTTTCCCTTTTGCTTCCCATCCCATCCCACCCACGCATTGATGATCGGATGGATATATGGTCCATATTACCGACCGAACGGTAGTGGAAGCCTCTTTGCCAGACCCTTTTATGCCAGGTCCCCCCTCCCCTCCCCAGTACTAAAGCAGACTTTCTTCTTTTCTAGAGCCAATAGAGAGAGAGAGACTCTGGTTCCTGTACAGTGACACTATCAGTGCCACAGCCTACCACCACTATCTTCATCTCACGATGCCACCAGTAAGTGTATCGAATGTACCAGTACATATATCCACAGACACAGACACAGATACTATTGCCAACGGGCGCCCGGGAACCTGGCACCTGCAACCTGCTGAGCCAGGACCCAGCCAGCCAGCGATCAGTCAAGTCCGGCTAAATACGTTTCCTGTCAGCATCCGCCTGATATACGCGTGTGAGCGCGTCACACAGCAGTTCGACTGGTTGAAAAAAAAGAAGTGAGAAACGATCAGCTCCCGCGCATTTAGCCGTATATTGCTCTTGGCAAGGACATCGTACCGAGTACATAGACATATTAGATCCAATCATATGATGGACAAGGCGGGATTGCCGTGGTGGGTAATCATAATCTAAGCATTGAGTAGCGAGGTAGGTACCTGGTGTACAAAAAATTCCTGGTTTTCTCGCGATGGACAAGGCTGAGAGCGAGCATGAACGTGCATGCTGGGATTTGCGATGTTACCCTTATATACCCAAACACCAGGCAGTCCATGGCGGATTGGTTCCAGGTGTCGAGTGCACGCTAATTACAGCTATCGACGATCGTCTTGGATCGTGCGTAAAACCACCCATTCCGTCTTCTTACAGAGGCTATATTATCCCATTTTCTTGTCTACTACTGGTCGAGATAGTAATTGACGCTATAGTTGAGCCACGCACACTGGGGCAAATCGACAAAGCCCCCGCTCACCGCGGGGTAGTCCAAATGTTTAATCGGCCCGGTGGCATTCGACACCTTCTCCCATGGCCCGGACTGCTGGACGCCCTGCAAGGTTCTTGTGTACCCCCGGGCCTGGAGGTACGGGACCGGCGGATTCGGCTGGCCGCTCCTCACAAATTCCGCAAAGTACCCACTCACAAGCTGCACCGAGTACAGATCGTTTGCGTCCCGGAGGGGCACGTAGAAGTTGCCAAACGCCCAGTCCATGTCCGCGCCGTGCAGCTTGAAGTAAGGCAGGTTGGGGTTCCCGTGCGGGTAGCCTGGCGTGATTGGTGCGCCAGGGACGTTTTCCGGGTTGTAGCCGTTGATGGTCCGTTCGAACTGGTAGTAATATGCCGCTGGGAACGTGCCGGTCTCGGCGCCGGCGTAGACCGTGGCCTGGTCGATGCAGCGGAAGGTGCTGTCCGTGGCGACCCGTTGCGTCACGTTGAAGGAGTCGAACGTCATGTTGCCCGTGTCGTAGTAGGGGAACAGGCCGGACCAGATGATGGCCTGCGCGTACGACGCATTGATGCCCAGACCGGTCATCAGCCCTTCGGTCTCGTTGTGCACGGGAGTCGGGGAGATGGTGGAAAAGGAGGCGCCATCATTCGCTGCGACACCAAATATGATCGGCACGTAGGCACTGCCCGCATTCTTCTGGACCACGTTGAGTTGCGACGAGTTGACAATGGTGCCGTCTTGGACGACATATCGAGCAACCGTCTCCAGGCTCACCAGATCCGTGGCATTGACCTCTTTCAGGCACGCGATCTTGCCACTCAGCGATTGTTGGGTACAGTTTGACGCGTTGAAGATCTGAGGCCCAGCGACCGTGTATGATTCGTTAACGGTGTAGTATGACGAGTAGGTCGTGCCGTAGTTGCTGTCGAGACCAAGAGTCACACCGCCACCTAGGTTAGACATGGCTATTGCGCCCTGGAACAGTCCGATGGCTGGGGGACTACCGAGGAGGGTTCGGACGGAGCCAGCTCCGGCGGATTCGCCCATGATGGTGATTTTGGTGGGATCGCCGCCGAACTTGGCAATGTTCTGTACGGTCCAGTTCAAGGCGACGATCTGGTCGCCAATACCAAAGTTTCCGGTGATGTTGGTGCCGGGAATTGCCAGAAAGCCCAGCGTGGACAGCCGATAGTTGATGGTCACGACAACAATGTCCTCGCGAGAAGCCAGATTACCCCCGTCGCTCAGCGGATCAGCGCCTGTGCCACCGGTGAAGCCTCCGCCGTGGATCCAAACTGGTTCAAGTCAGCTTCACTACGACACCAAATGTCCAGAAGCCGTGAGAAACTCACACAAGACGGGTCGCAGGCTCTTGGATGATCCGGCTTTGGGAATGTATGGCGTCTGGATGTTGAGAAACAAGCAGTCTTCACTTGTACCATTCACGGATGCCTGTGAACACTGGGGTCCATATGCGGTTGCATTCACCGTATTGCCAGTTCCACTGTATGAATGAGAGTATACCCATCGCTGCGGAGGATCTGCATATCTGATGCCCAGGAAACGAAACGATTTCTGGTTTCGGTAGCCGATATAGGTATTCCCTGCTGCCGTGACGACGACCTGGTTGGAAGAGCTTGCTGTCGAGTTTGGAGGCTGACTTGCATTGCTTGACTGGGTGCAAAGTACAGGCAAAGCTGAGTCGCCCTGTGGCACTGTGGGAAAAGAGAGCTGTGCTTGATCCGAGACCTGCAAGCTGCCACCGGCGATGTGATACGCCTGATTTGGAGACACCCTTCCAGAGTATGCCAGGTATGATAAGGCGGAGGAGAAATCACTGCTGTAGTTCTGGATGGTCGTCTGGGTCAACAGTGTCTCGCTCAACTCTTCACAAGCAGCCGACCCAGCGGATGCTGACATCGGGTCAAGCAAGATAGCACCGACATGGTTCACATCGTCTGAGGCATTGAGGTTGTTTTGAAAGACATAAGTCAGTGAGCTGCCGGTGTTAGACACGGCGACGTTGGCCCGGCGAACAATATCTTGAGGATGACCGAAGCTATACCCAACAAGCAATCCCAATGGCACCAGGACCCGAAAGAATGAGGCCATGGTCATCACAGGCTGTCGGTTCGAAACATAGAGCAGCTAGAGGAGATCCAAGGTAGAAAAGACACCCAACACGTCTGGGCAGTGTGATCTTCTTACCATAATCATGCTGAGTTCGACGAGAACACATTCCACCATCGTCTGGACACCAGCTTCCGCCTGGCCGTAGGCACAATTCCCACAATTCATGCTATTTCGGGGCGGACTCCGGTCGTGAAGCCCAAGCTCCTCACAGTGCCATTCCAGGTCAGGAAGGCAGATATTGCACCCTCCCCCGAGGTCTGGGTCAAACTGCGGAGGTGATGCGTCGATGCCGGGTGAATGCAGACAAGGTCATTGTGCCCTTGACCCTTGAGTTGACACAGCCATTTGACGAGAAGGCAATCTGGCATATTGCCGAGCAGGGGCATTTGAATCTCTTGTAGAAGAGTAGTCGATGACGGCGACAATATGCGAGGTCGACATGCAGCAATTGATCACGCCGAGATTTAGGCTGAAATGCAGTGGCATCTCATTGGCAATGGACACAACAGCCATTTGCCAAAAAGAGCACAAGAGGCGCAACTCGCTTCCATAATCGGCGGGCATTTGCCTTGCTGGGATTCTCCAGAGGATCCAGCATCTCCGCATTTGACCACGCCTTTAGCAAGATGGCTAAATGGTCTGTGCGAGGTGAAGAGGCTCCGGGGTGAAAAGACGTCTGCGGCTGAAAGGGAGAGGAAGCGTGGGTGTACGACGTTCAGAACAATTAATCTCAAAGGTATGTCGTACTTGCTCTGCAAAGCTACAAGGCACATTCGGTAAGTCGGGCTTGATCCAGCAGGTTATGTTGGAGGCTGTGAATGGCACCAGGCGCGCAGTCTCGTTACCGTTGCCTGGAGCCGATCAGCGAAGATCTATATATGGCATATATGATATTTGTGTCCAACTCCTTGAGACTAGGCGATTTCACCTGCGTATACGTAACTGGATGAAATGTCCATGTTGAAAAAGTCTTTGGTCTCAACCCTTACAACAGCGTCAGCCTCGTCCAAGTGTGTATATCGAACCATATAGGTAGCCAGGCGCTTGCTGATCCTGCCAGGTGCCGTCAATATTCCTGCCACAGACAGTAGTGATGGAGATGTCTCTTATGGCTTCGACCATTACGATATGCTGGATTTCGCCGTCGAGGGTGGCGTTTCTATCGGGGATAAGACATTAGAAGAAGTGCCAAACCAACTGGAGATCGTCGTGTGTCTCGGACGCCTTTTTGTCCGACAATCCCCTTCTCAATCACGACATCTATCAAATCAATTAAAGTGAATAGGCTACGAGGTGTTTGTGGACAATCCGATGTCCCTATGGATGGTCTTCGACAAAAGGTCGACCCGTGTCCCTCCCGAAGGCCAGCATCCGCTTCCATTGTGCGCTTTCTGTTCCAACGTCGTATTCGAGCAGACCGAATTGGCCTGATTCCCATCACAAGCCTGAACGCTTTATCGATATTGCTCGCCTGTGTGAACTTGGCCAAATCACAATGCCCAGAGGGCCTTCCTACACGTCAGTTATAGGCAACGTGTCGCAAACTCCATCTTCGATGCAAAAAGCTATGCCTAGACCAGATTGACGAAAGGGAAGTCCTGCGTTTCCCTCAAGATCGGGGAAGGGGTAGTACGAATCTAGGACTTGGTCGAGGCTGACTGACAACTTACCACTCATACCGTTTACGCCATGTTGATCCATCTCATCGATCTTTTCCCTCAACGAGACGTGGTATCTGCTCGTCGCGATACAGAAGCGCAGAGAGTCTCACGCAAGTATTGATATTGGTCCTCCCCATAGCACATTATTTGTCATTGTCCTTGTCCCTCTCTTTGTACACGAACCTATATGATGACGGAATAACCTTTTCCGACTCAAAACAAGCATACGCTTGCTCCCGGAACATCACGATAGTAATGGTAAAGCATTGCACGCCACGCCACGCTACATGCCACCGTACAGTATATACCAGTACAGCCTCGTCATGGCTCTCTCGGGATGCTACGAGTACTCGGTACAAGCATGCCTTGTGGGGTTTCGGTTGATCTTCGAGGCGAGGGGTCACTACTACTAGGCAGTGTGAACTGATTAGGCCACGTAAGTGCAAGTACAAGTAAAGTCAAGACTAAGCCGGGTGGCCGCTTGAACCCGTTTGGTGCCCGATAATAGCCAGAGCCGTTTTTTTGCTTGTACTTGAGCTTGTGCTTGTAGTGGAGATGGTCGGGGGAGAGGAGGAGGAGGAGAGCGTCACTCCACGGTCTGGAGTTCCGAAGTTCATCCAGTAATGCTACATGCTCCTCGTAGTGGTGGTGGCATGCTTGCAATGCAGAACCTCATGCAGCCGACACCAAAGAATACCACGGGTGTGGTCTGGGGTGTACATGTAGATGTGCTGGTGGGATGTGGGATGGAAAGGGAACACGGGGGCCAGGGGGAATTGTCACGGTTCATCTTCGGTTCTGGCAAAGTCATTCATGCATGACAGAAGACAGAGGATCGGATCAGATGTGCCGGGGGGGGGGGGGGGGGGGGGGGGGGGGGGCGTCCCACCCGGAAAGCTTTCCCAAGCTTGTCTGTCTGAAAGGTTCAAGGGAGCCAAACCATTCCAGTTGGAAATTAGTTGTAATATTAGTGCTGTACCTACTCTACCTATGTAACGGACCTGGATGGCGTCGTCTCATTCTCTCCCTCCGACCGATTGTCCCACTCCAGTTTATTCCTGTACGAGCACTCTAGAGACAAGCCCGTCGTATGCCAAAACAAATCATGCCGAACATACCGAGCACGGAACGCCCTGCAGTGCCTCGCCGACAGCATAGTATGCCGGTTTACGCTTTTGTGCCCGACAATGACTCGTTAGCGTATGGACTCCTTGCTTCTTGAAGAAGGAAAAAAAAAAACTGAAGGGTGGAGTGCATCAATCCCTCTTCAGGTTAAAGGGGCTGGGAGAAGTTGCTTAGTACTTACCCTAAAGTCAGCATCGTAAAGGTCCGCCAGGCCCTGTCCGGGAAAGCTCGAGGGAATCCAGCTGCAGTCACCAAGTCAGTCTCACAAATGCGTTATGTACAGACAGAAGAGGAGAGATGCTGAAAAGCTCTCTTCCATCGTACCTGTATTGATCGTCAAAGTCCCAGACCGTGATCCCGACACACCCCTCCACCAGGACACAGCTGGCCGTCGAGTTGTAGTACTCTGCCGCCTGCAGGGCATAGGCTGTGGCGTTGGTCAGATTGGCCTGGGAAAACCGGACGTCGAGTTCGGTGATGGCCACCTCGACCCCGGCGGCGATGTAGGCTTGTTTCGTGGCCACCTGCTCCTCCAGCGAGGGCGTGTCGCCGACCACGAAATGGCTCTCCAGCCCGACGCCGTCGATGCGGATGTTCCGACTCTGCAGCTCGTGGATCAGACCCAGCACCGCCACCGACTTGTTCCCAGACTCGATCCCGAAGTCGTTGTAGTACAGCTTTGGCTTTCGCGTGCCAGCCGGTAGGGAGTCGACGGCCTCCTCTGTGCCCATTGTCAGTCTCGGCGAGCCCCTTTTTTTGTCAGATTCCAACTTACGAGCGAATTGATATGCCAGGAAAAAGTACTCGGGGCCGATTACATCGTACTAACCACCCCCCCCAAAATCAGTTTCTTGGTCAGAGTCTGACAATGGAGCCACCCAAATACTGACCCAAATACTGGAAGAAAATGAGCCGTTGGCAGCAATAGCCTCGTTGACCACGTCCCACGAGTAACAGGCGTCTCCAAAGTGGGTGATCATGGTCTGGATATGGTTGTGCATGACATCCGTGAGTGTATCTGCCGTCCAGCTCCCGTTCAAGACCCATTCACTGACTTGGCTGACCCAGACCAGGTTGTGACATCTCAGGTATTTCCCATGGTCTTGCGCGATGGCCACGTCAATGTCTCCACCCGTGAAGTTGAAGACGCCGGGCTCTGGTTCGCTCAGCTCGAACTTCATCATGTTCGCCGGGGTGATCTGGCCGAAGATGTGCGTGTTGTTCAGGATCTCTTGGTAGAGGATGTTGGTGTCCTCACCGGTTCCCTGTGTGTCCCCGTCAATGTTTGAAGCCCTCTCTTTCTGCTAACACTGATACCCACAGGTTGATCGGTCGCACTGCCGAACCACAGCTTGCCAGCAGCTTGAGCTAGATCATTGAGGAAAGGAGGTGCGAGAGGCTCAAAGTACCCGGAGCAGGACGCTGGGGCAGACGATGCCGGCGCTGGTGAAGCTGACGAGGTTGTCGTCGCTGGAGGAAAAGCAGGGGGAGGAGGACGAGGAGGGGGGGGATAGTGCCCATATGGTGACCATCCTGGTCCCGTTGGGGTCGCGCGTCCAAGAGCCGCAAGGACCGAAACAACAGAGGCAAGTCTGGACAAAGCCATACCGAAGTCACAAGAAACGAAGGACCAAAAGGATGAAAAGACGGCTACACAACAGCTTGAATCCCCTTTCGATTGATCAAACGTCCAGCATATTCATCACGGCATCTGTCCATTCTCCCGCATCTTTATATACCATACCGGCAATTAACCGCTGCAGCATTCTCTCCAGGATTCGAAATTGGCATACAGTCCATCATTCAGTCACACCGACCAGACGGGCAACATTACACACGTCCACAGGATGGAGATCCAGGATGAATGCCGACATTGTTCAATCTCTGCGATATCAACCGGAACCCCGCAACAGTAGAGCATGTATGTATGTACTCGGTACCCCATACACCCCGTAGTCGACAAAATAGAACAAGACAACGTAAAGACCTTCCATATTTGGCGACGATGGACTCGATGAATGGTACGGGGAGAATCAAACTGTAAGGGAACTGCGACGCATGCAGGGCGGGTTAGCGAATCTGGCGGCGTCCGTTAGAGAACCCTCGGTGTTCCATCTCCTTTACCAAGACAGCCTCGTGGACATGGCTCCATTTGTTGCTATTTTCCCGGATGGATGAATACTGAGACCAGACCCGTGCATCAGTGACGGCGTCGATCTTTTGCCTCTCCCATTCTCTTCCAAGAACATGATCGATCACAGAAATGGTCTGATCCAGTGTCCAGAAGAGGAAGCTCCTTTCTCAAAAGCTGCGTGGCGATCTTCCATCCATTATTCCTCCATCCCTCCCTCCACTCCCTCTAACCCCCGGATAATAGGATAAAATACCCATCAACTGGCTGTTTTGTCCTTTGCCCGAAGATCCTCCACCCGCCCCCCTTTTTCAGGTATAGCTGAACCCATCCGTTCCCCATCCGAACCCATTCTCGTTCCCTGACATGTCCTAGTCTGTCCTGTCTGCCCTGGCCCACACCATGGGGTCTGTTTCCTGGAAATCCCACAATCCTCTCCTCGACTCTCCTCCCCTCCACACTCCCATCCACCACATCTGCATGCCATGTGCTCAGAATTTGCCCAGAATTTTGCCGCTAGATCAATCAGAAAAGAGTCCCCAGTCCCAATTGGGCTCTAGAATGGGTCACAACACCCCATGTGGTCCTCTTCCTCCGTCCGGTTCTGATCACCTTTTTTTTTTCTTCCTCAGAGCTCGGTCCATCCCGAGAGGCTGATGTCGCCGAAGCTGCTGCTACTCCCTGTCTCTGCCACCGGCCGGTAAAACTCCCTGGCTCTTTTTCGGCCTCAATCTCCAGCCTCGGAGCTCCCTGGTCGATATAGATTTGAGCTCTCAGACCATGATGAGTTAGGCTAGTGGGCGGCCTCTTTATCCAGCCTTTCGCCTCGGACTTGATCGTCCAATCCAGACCAAACTTGGATCCACCGTTATGGCAACATTTGTGCTCTCATCCGGCCTGTCCAGTCAGCCATTGGTTCCTGCAGCCCTGGTCAGCTGTGATGCCAGACTTTCTAGAACGCTACCACTCGAAATGGACGCGGTAGCATTTCAATCACGGCCCTTTGAGTCCCTTGGGGTGAGATAAAACCTGCACCGTAACGAATGCCACCTTGTTGTATAAAACATTTGCCTCTCCTCCCTGTTTTCATCCTTCGTTCCCCTTCTCCTTCATCACGACTATCTCGTAGATACTGTCTCTACAGACTTGTTACCTCCGCAGAAGCCCCCCATCAGCAACCAGGATCTTCTTGCCACCATGGGGAAAGGATACTTTGAGCTGGCAGGACGCCAGTTTCCTGCCGTGACGTGGTATAAGGATCCGGCGTTGAGAAAGACCTATATCTGTCTCATGTTTGTGGTTCTTACCAGTGCCACCAACGGGTGAGTGTCTCTTTGTCTGGCTACCAAAAAGCAAGTCTTCGTCGTTGACTTGTATATCACAGTTATGATGGCTCCATGATGAACGGTCTCCAGACTCTCAAGCCGTGGCAACAGCATTTCGACCACCCGAAAGGCGGCAAGATTGGTATCTTGAATGCCATCATGTCGATCGGTTCCTTGTCCGCCATTCCCTTTGTGCCATACGTCGCCGATTTCCTCGGCCGTCGAATGGGTATCCTCGTGGGCTGTATCATAATGTTGGTCGGTGTGGTTCTACAATCCATCTCGGCGGGCTTTGGCATGTTCTTGGGCGCCCGATTCCTCCTCGGTTTTGGAATCGCCATCGCCCACGGTTCTTCTCCTCTGTTGATCACCGAACTCGTGCACCCTCAGCATCGAGCCATCTTCACCACCATCTACAACACCACCTGGTATGCCGGGAGCATTGTTGCTGCGTGGCTGACCTACGGGACCGATCATATCAACAACAACTGGTCGTGGCGGATCCCCACCATTGTCCAGGCCGCCCCGTCCTTGATCCAGGTCACCTTCATTTGGTTCGTGCCCGAGTCTCCGAGATGGCTCATCGCGCACGGGAAAGAGGAAAAGGGCCTGAATATTCTCTACGACGTCCACGCCAACGGCAACCACAGCGATGAGATGGTGCAGCTGGAGTTTGTCGAAATCCGCGACACCATCCGACTCGAGAAGGAGGTCGAAGGGAACCAGTGGCTCGAACTGATCAAGACCCGGGGCAACCGGCGCAGGCTCATCATCTTGTTGTCTGCCGGTCTCTTCTCCCAGTGGTCTGGCAACGGCCTTGTCTCATACTACATCACCAAGGTAAGCTGGCCACGAGCCGTGCGCGTCAGTGATACCACGGTGCTAACAATTGTGTTTCTAGATCCTCAACAACATCGGCTACACTGATACCCTGACCCAGAACTTGATCAATGGCGTTTTGCAAATCTTCAACCTATTCATCGCCGTCGCCGCCTGCTTCTTCGTCGACAAGGTCGGTCGTCGCAAGCTCTTCCTCATCTCCACCGCTGGCATGTTGGTCACCTTCATCGTCTGGACCATCTGCTCGGCTCGATATGCCATCACGGGCTCCAAGGGCGCCGCCAACGCGGTTGTCGGGTAAGTTTGCCTCGCCAGCTGTATTTTTCCAAGAAGAACGGAATCGCTGACTTGACTTGCAGAATGATCTACATCTACTACTTCTGGTACAACATTGCCTGGTCCGGCATGTTGGTCGGCTACACGGCCGAGATCCTGCCATACAACATCCGAGCAAAGGGCCTGACGGTCATGTTCCTCATGGTCGACGCCGCCCTCTTCTTCAACCAGTACATCAACCCCATCGCCCTGGACCACATTGGGTGGAAGTACTACATCTTCTACTGCGTGTGGCTCGGCTTCGAGTTGGCCGTTGTCTACTTTTTCTACGTCGAGACCCGCAACACACCTCGTAAGTTTCGCTCCCTTCCCTGCCCAGAGCCACCGCTGAATACTGACTTTTTTTCTGCGCAGTGGAAGAAATTGCCAAGCACTTCGACGGCGACCAGGCGTTGGTCGCCGGCGCTGCGGCCTCGAACAAAGGTCTCACCCTGGCGGCCGAGATGGGTCTCGACGCCACCGTCACTCAACACCACGAGATGGACGAGAAGCGGCACTCTGTGCAGGTGGAGAACGCCTCTCCCACCAAGAGCGAGTCGTAGTAGTCGTCCAGCAAACCGTGCATCTCGCCACCCACATGTATCTGCGCACGGTACATGTATGTATGCGATGTGTCCTCTGTGTGTGTTGATGTGGTGTGTGTATGAAATTTTATCCCCCTCAAGCCGAGTTTGGAAAGTCGGTCTGTGTGGAATATGGGAAGGGAAGGAAATGGGAACCAGTCCCTCTCTAACTCCTCTCATGTTCGTGGTTAGCCCTTGCAGCGCGGGTTTGCTGTGTTGGAAACGATAGATGTTCTTTTGCCCTCGCCCCCTTTCCTCGGCCCTTTGAACCTCTGGAAGACAACAGGATTGGATCGAATTGAATCGAAGAGCCCAGACTATAATAACACAGAACAATACAAATACAAACAGAAACAGGTTTCTTTCTTCACTATTTTGTGTCATCTCGTCTCATCGTGGGTTTAACGCCCACCTATCCACGTCTTTTTGCCTCGGTGATAGATATCCTCGCTTTCCCATACAATACTCACCCATGTTGGGTTACCGCCGTAGATGGTCCCGCAAAATATCGAATCATGACTGTAACACGAAGCTCTGCCCATGGAGGTGAGAGGGAACCTTTTCCACTGGCGACTATTTCCCCAAAGTTTACCCGGAACAAGTGCGAAGCCCTTGCCTCTCTGGGCGTGCAAGGCTGCAGATCACGGGGCGATAAGATAACGTCCAACACCCCCCAAAAAATAATTATTTCGCCCACTCCTCTGCGCACCCAAAACTTTTCCATCCTTCGCCTTGGTTGACCGCTACCCTGGTTATTTCCCTCCCCGACACCACACCCAGAACAAGATGCCGCCGCTCAAGAAACGGAAATTGAGTCACGATGAGTCGTCCTCGGGTGATGATGATGAAGGTCATCACTCTGTAAAGTCGTCCACCGAATCCGAGACCACACCAACCAGCGACGCAGAGGAGGAAGACACGCAGACAAACAAGACGACGCAGCCCAAGACGTTCAAAGAGCTAGGGATCATCGAGTCGCTCTGCGAAGCGTGCGACCGACTCGGATACAAGGCGCCGACGCCCATCCAGGCTGAAGCGATCCCGCTGGCCCTGCAGGGTCGGGACCTCATCGGGCTGGCAGAGACTGGGAGCGGCAAGACGGCGGCGTTTGTCCTGCCCATCCTGCAGGCGCTCATGGACAAGCCGCAGCAATTGCACTCGCTGATCCTGGCACCGACCAGAGAACTGGCATATCAGATATCCCAGGCTGTCGAGGCGCTGGGCTCGCTGATTGCGGTCCGCTGCGCCGTGTTGGTCGGGGGCATGGACATGATCCCGCAGGCCATTGCTTTGGGCAAGAAACCGCACGTCGTCGTCGCCACGCCGGGCCGGCTGCTGGACCACCTGGAAAACACAAAGGGCTTCTCACTCCGCCAGCTCAAGTACCTGGTCATGGACGAGGCCGATCGCCTACTCGACCTGGACTTTGGGCCGATTTTGGACAAGATCCTCAAGATCCTGCCGAGAGAAGGGAGGAAGACGTATCTCTTCTCCGCCACCATGTCCAGCAAGGTCGAGTCTCTCCAGCGGGCGTCGCTGTCGAACCCGCTCCGCGTCGCCGTGTCCCAGGACAAGTACCAGACGGTGTCGACGCTGATCCAATCCTACCTCTTCATCCCGCACAAGCACAAGGACCTCTACTTGATCCACGTGCTGAACGAACTCGCCGGCCAAACGGGCATCATCTTCACCCGGACGGTCAACGAGGCACAGCGCATCTCGATCCTGCTACGCACGCTCGGCTTCTCCGCGATCCCCATCCACGGACAACTCTCGCAACAAGCGCGCCTCGCCGCGCTGAACAAGTTCCGCGCCAAATCCCGCAACCTGCTGGTCGCCTCGGACGTCGCGTCCCGCGGCCTGGACATACCCTCGGTCGACCTCGTGATCAACTTCGACCTCCCGCACGACAGCAAGACGTACATCCACCGGGTCGGGCGCACCGCGCGGGCGGGCAAGAGCGGCCAGGCCATCTCCTTCGTGACGCAGTACGACGTGGAGCTGTGGATGCGCATCGAGGGCGCCCTCGGCAGGAAACTCGACGAGCACCACACTGTCAAGGAGGAGGTCATGGTGCTGGCCGAGCGGGTCGGCGACGCCCAGCGCGCCGCCGCCATGGAGATGAAGGAGCTGCACGAGAACCGGGGCAAGAAGGGCGCCACCCTCCGACACAAGCGAGGAGCCAAGGGCGTGGGAAGTGGTGGTGGGAAGCGGAGTCGAGATGATATGGATCAAGACGAGGGATAGTTTCTTCCCATCAGTAAAAATGAGTTACGTACGTTTTCAGGGGTCCTTGGGGATTTCTCATTTCATGCATGCATGGGTGTGTCGGTCTTTCGTACCAAGGTGCTAGGTACTAGGCATCTATTTAGCCACCTACCTACATGCAAGGTGCTATTACGGTACGGTAGATACATTAGGTACCTATCTACCGATCTCTAGATCTGGTCGAAAGAGTACTAGAGCAGCCTTGCGATCAGGAAGCGCAGTCACTCGGTACTTACTAGAGCGCTAGATACGGACATATACTTAGTACTCAGTACTCAGTACAGCACGCACAGAGAATCATGGGATAAAATTCCATTCCTGGCCAATTTTTAGGCATCGGTTATACAAACAACACAACAACATCATTACTCTCTCAATCCTTGGTCACTCGCCAATAAATCCCATGCTAAGCACTCGAGCAATGCAGCGCGCCCCCAAACCTCTCACAGGCCGGCGAATTAAACGACGTCCATCTGCCATCCAAGCCAATCTCGAAAGTTTTTGCGATGACGTCTTGCCCGATGCTGTGGCTTCATTGGTCAAACATCCTGGCAATAAGCGTGGGAGGGAATCGTCTGTCCCACTGGGCCTCAACAGAAAATCCATTTTTTCCTGGCCCATCGGAGAAACCCTCAAAAACCGAAAATGAGATATGATAGATGAAAAGTCTCTTTCCTTTTCCTTTTCATTAATTCATTTCTCAAAAGGTCGATTCCATAAAAAAAAAAGGAGAAAAATGGGAACCGGTCTGTAGCAGAGTCGGGCTGGAAAAACTATCCTCCCGACTGAAAGGACCCACACATACCGAGTACACTGTGAGGAAACCAGAGAAGAGAAACAATCATGCCTGTCATCGATATCAACAAGGATCTGTCGGCGCTTTTTCGACAACAGGTTCAAAGGACACCCGATGCTGTGGCGCTGGAGGACGAGACGACGACATATACCTATGTCCAGCTTGACCAAAAGGTCGAAGCTCTCGCCCATCGCCTCCGCAAGCACCGGGTTGGCCGAGACAGCCTCGTTGGCGTGCTGCTCCCGCGCAGTGCCAACTATGTCATTGCCTGTCTCGCTGCGCTTCGGGCAGGCGGAGCCTTTCTCGTCCTGGAACTGGCATACCCCCCGGAGCTCCTGGCAGACGTTATTGATGATGCCCAACCAGCTGTAGTCGTCACATACCGGGCCGAGGTTGGTAAGATCAAGGAGGGCATTCCTCTCATTACTCTGGACGAAGAAGGAGAGCAGACACCTCCCAACGGAGATGTGAAAGACCTTCCTCCGCTGCCTGCTGATGATGACTTGGACAGACTGGCCTTCGTCTCTTATTCTTCGGGAACCACGGGCAAACCAAAGGGCATTGCAAACCCTCACCGAGCTCCTGTGCTTTCGTATAACCTGCGGTTCGGCGTTCGTGACCTGCAGCCTGGGGATCGTGTTGCCTGCAATGTCTTCTTCATCTGGGAGATCCTGCGGCCACTGCTGCGAGGAGCGACCGTCGTTGCAGTGCCAGACGAGGCCAGTTACGACCCGCCCGTCCTGGTGGACCTGCTCGCTTTTAAGAATATCACCGAGACTCTCATGACCCCGACGCTCCTAGCCGCTGTGCTGTCTCGGCATCCAAAGATCGGAGCTCGCCTGCCGAAGCTGCGCACCTTGTGGCTGAATGGTGAAGTTGTGACAACCGACTTGGCCCGTCGAGCAATCAAAGCCCTACCCAACACGACACTGCTTAACTGCTACAGCGCCTGCGAGACCCACGAGATTGCCTGCGGAAACATTGGAGACATGCTCGACGACGCCTCAAACTACTGTCCGGTCGGCCCACCTCTGGATCCCGAACACATCTACATCCTCGATGAGAGTGGCCAAAAAGTGCAAGCCGGAGAAAGTGGAGAACTTTTCGTGGGCGGATCACTTCTTGCCCGTGGCTATATCAATCGTCCCGAGACAACCGCCAAAGCCTTTACGCCGGACCCATTTGACTCGGCACCGGGAGCCCGGATGTACAGAACCGGTGATCAAGCACGAATACTTCCGTCCGGCCTTTTGGAAATCACTGGTCGTGTCGGAGCCATGATCAAGCTTCGTGGCTATTCCGTCGTCCCCGGAAAGGTCGAGCACGCTATTCTTCAACACCTTGCCGTGCGACATTGTGCCGTCACAGCTCATGGCGAGGGGTTGGACCGGCAATTGGTTGCATATGTCGTCCGGGACAAGGAGTCGTCCGCTGATCGCCCAGCGTTGGAGGTCAATGAGTTAGGTCACAGTCCAGCTGCGAGACGGACGCTCTCGCCATACTTGGCTCACTATATGATTCCAGCTCTGTGGGTGGAAGTCGAGGAGCTGCCGACCAACGCGGTGTCAGGCAAGGTTGACCTCAAGCGCCTTCCTCCACCTCCAAGCCCCAAAGCTGCTAATGGCAATGGGTCGTTGAACGGGCACAAAGGAGACCAAGACCCCATTGATATCGAAGCCATAGCTGAGATCTGGGCTGCGAGTCTGAAGATCTCACGCAGCACCATAACGCCAGAACATAGCTTTTTCGACCTTGGTGGACACTCCTTGACGCTTGCAGATTTGTCTGCACGCTTCTCCAGGGTGCTGGGTGTCAAGGTGCCTCTCGCACGACTCGTCGATCCAGCGACTCTCAACGGCCACCTGGAAACGGTGCGATCTGTGCGCGACGGTCACGCTGCGGCGGTGCAAGCTCATCTGCCTGATGTCCTTCGGAAAGACTCGACTCTTGAGGACAGCATTCGACCGACAAATGCTAGCATATGTGCAGCTAGCAAAGCACACACAATCCTGTTGACCGGTGTCACTGGCTTCTTGGGTGCATTTTTGTTGAATGATTTGTTGGAAAGCACCTCTGCCAAAATCTTGTGTCTTGTCCGTTTCAATGACCCTTCAGAAGCCGATCTACCAGCAGGTATAGCGAGGTTGCGGAGGCATCTCCTCGATATGGGATTGTGGCGGGACTCGATTATGGAACGCGTTGAGATCATCCCCGGCAATTTATCCCGCCCTCGACTAGGTCTCCCTCCGGAAGCTTTCGAAGAACTCACGGGCCGTGTCCAGGTCATAATCCACGCTGCCGCCACTGTCAACCTTGTGTACCCGTATGCAGCCCTTCGGGACGCGAACGTAGGCGGAACGAGGGAGATCCTGCGTCTGGCATGTCGCGCTGGAGCCACGGTGCAGTACATCTCCACGAATGGTGTATTGCCGCCATCTCGAGATGGGTGGGATGAGGATGCCATGCTGGACGTGGACGATGTGCCAGAAAAGCTGGCCGATGGGTATGGCCAGTCAAAGTGGGTAGCAGAGCAACTTGTGCGTGAAGCTGGCCGTCGAGGCCTGCCTGTCAAGATTCACCGAGCGGGTACAATTAGCGGACACAGTACCACCGGCGCAGGCAACGCGTGGGATCTTCTTAATGCGATCATTGTTGAGTCCATCAACCTGGGATATGCTCCAGATGTCGAAGGCTGGCGCGCTGAGATGACCCCGGTCGACTTTGTCAGCAAGGCCATCATCCATCTCTCGAATCAGACCAACACCACGCAGTTCGTGTTTCACCTCGGCGATCCTGATCCTGTACCAACTAGATCAGTCTTTAAAGACCTAGAAGAGCTTGGATATCCCACCAAACCACTCCCTTGGGACGAATGGGTGGCTCGATGGCAGGAAAACAGAGGCACTCTGAAAGGTGGAGATGGTGCCTTTACTATTGACATCCTCCGCAGCGGCATGCCCAGCGTCGAGTTTTTGAGAGGCATTGTTGTGTTGAACAATGCCGCCACCAGGCCTTTGCGGGCGGTTGTTGAACGACCCAAGGTTGACAGCGTCCTGCTCGAAACGTACGCTCGCCATTGGTTTGCTCGAGGATGGCTGCCACATCCTCCCGCACGCCAACATGCTCTTGGCGGAACAGCACAACCCATCCGAAGAGGGCCATTGAGCGGGAGAGTGGCTGTCATCACCGGCGCTTCATCCGGAATCGGTGCTGCGGTTGCTGCTGCTTTGGCACGGGAAGGCCTCCATCTAGCTCTCGGGGCTCGCCGCACGGACGCTCTCGAGGCCGTGAAGAGCCGGCTCGTGGTCCGCGAGGGCAAGGTGATCGTGCGACAGACGGACGTGACGGACAGGAAGCAGGTCGAGAGTCTCATCAAAGCGGCCAATGACGAACTTGGACCGGTCGATATCCTGGTCTCCTGCGCTGGCGTCATGTATTACACCATGATGGCCAATGCCCACGTCGAAGATTGGGACCGCACCGTCGACGTGAACTGCAAAGGTCTTTTGCACTGCCTTTCGTCAGTCGTGCCGTCAATGATCTCCCGCGGGAATGGGCACATTGTCGCCATATCGTCGGACGCCGGCCGTAAAGTCTTCCCTGGCTTAGGCGTCTACTCAGCCAGCAAGTTCTTTGTCGAAGCCACGCTGCAGAGCCTGCGTTTAGAAACGGCAGGGACTGGGTTGCGTGTCACGAGCGTGCAACCAGGCAACACGGCGACTGACCTCCTGGGCATGTCCACAGATGCAGAAGCAGTCAAAAAGTACGGTGAACCGACCGGAGCACAGATCTTGGATCCGGAAGATGTGGCCAATTCGATTGTCTATGCACTGAGGCAGCCGCAACATGTTGCTGTGAATGAGATTTTGATCGAGCCACGGGAAGAGCCGATTTAAGCAACCATCCCAATGCGGCGTTCCACCCATCGTTGCTCTCTGTGGGGTTGTGTTCGAGGCAGTTTAACTTGGCTGCCATGGAACAATCTCGAAGACTGAAGAGGGGGAGTTATTTCTTCGTTTATGTAAAAAAGGATCAGCAGCTCCAAAACACAGGACATTCGTGCCTGCCACGCATAATGAGAGCATAGGAGGCAAGCGGCAACCATGAGGGACAAGAGTCATAGCATAATATAAACGTGTTGGGAGTAGCATTCCAAGATGTAAAAGCTTTGACACACACAAGT